TTTAACCTTTTTTTTTAAGTTAAAGTGTTTTGAAGTCTTCCTTAAATGTGCTGGAAATCTTTAAGGAGTTGCAACTGAATCATTTATGTTTATGAACAGTCATAAGATCAGATATTTAGCAGGAGATGTCATATTTTGTCATATTTGACATATTTTCAGTACTATCAGACTCACAGAATGCAGTACTGATGCTGTAGAAACTCTCTGCTGAGCGCATGTTTTATTTATGAACATAAAGCCATTCAGACATTTATGTAATTATGCTAAGTGTCACCTTCAGCGTGACCTTTGACCTGGGGTTAAGCTCCCCTTGAAGTTTCGAAATAAAGCCTAAATGGAATTGCCCTGCATGCCGCTGATTCTAATATATGGCTGTTAATAAATGAAGTGAATGTGCAGAAAGGTGCACACGCATTCATCTTTATTCAGCAGCTCTAAACAAACACTAAAGGTTTGACTCTTCAGCACAGGAACAGCCTCCTGCTTTTCACGAGCTCGGTTTGTCTCCTGCCGGGCCCAGAGTGTAAATAAAATTTTCTGAAGTGACTAAACAAGCAAAGAATATAATGTAAGGGGCTTTATCTATATTTGTTTTATCATACATTTATTATCATCAATGTTGATTCAAGACAACAAACCACAGTCTAAAACTTTTTTCCAGTCGTGAAACTGTTTTGCATTATTTCTAAATATATTATTTATAATATGACATACTATAATATATTTATTATATATAATATATATTTTGAAAATAGCATTCTTTTTTTTTCATTGCATATTTGTGACTGAAAGCAGGAGTCATAGTGAAGATGCTTTGTTTTGCGATAAATATTCCACATACCTCCACAAAAAAAAATCCTAGATAAACAACTGATATTTCATTTCTTTAGTAATCCTGAACTGAATAAGCGTGTTACTTGCATCGGTCAGATCATTCTCAGACTTCAGCTGCAGTTCTTCATCAAATCACTGACTAGCGAGCTTTATTTACTCACTGAAGGCGTTTTATGTAGCACTCGGCGAGCTTCCGCTGATATCCGGCTGTAGTCTCTGTGCAGCGTTCAGGACACAGCCATCACACGCTCTCTGGCACAGGCCTTTTTTTAGCTTCCGCTGATATCCGGCTGTAGTCTCTGTGCAGCGTTCAGGACACAGCCATCACGCTTTCTGGCACAGGCCTTTTTTTCACAAGGTCAGTGTTTTAACAAGGAGCTATTTTTTATTATTTATTTTAGCCGTTAACCTTTCTATGAATTTCCAGAGGTGGTGGCACCTGCCGCAGCGTTGAATATACATGACACAAGAGGCAGTGAAACACTGCAATGAGATTTAATTTGACACGCTGACCCCATCTCCATGGGCACGGGAAACCAGGACGAGAAAATAAAGTTGACCTTCGACCCCCGGCCTTGAACCCAGCATCACCCGCACTTACAATTAAATCTGTCTAAAGGAGGCCTGCGCTCTCTCAGCTCTTTCATCTAAAGGAGTTTCACCAAGTCATGCTGCTCACTTACAGTGTTGAGTTCGTATTTTAATTTTAATATTAAAAAATATATATATATATATATATATATTTATGCATGAACGTTAAACTAAAACGAAAACCATTAAAAACGTTTTGTTACTTCAAAAAAAATAAACTTTAACTGAAATAAAATGTAAAAAAACTTTATTTTATCTAGTTGCTAAAGCAACATTTCTCATTTTCATGTAGTTTAACTTGAGGTACTAAAATAGGTATTACTAAAACTAAAATAAAAATGAATAAAATCTAAAAATAAAATCTAATAAAATAAAAAGCTAATAAAAATAACAAAAACAACAAAATTCCTAAAACTAAAATAAAAATAAAAACTGAAAATATTAAAACAAGTATATTAATATTTTATTATATTAATATTAAGTTATAAATTATATTGAATATATAAGTATTATATTATATTATAAAATTTAAATATTAATACAAACACTAGTTATATCTTAAAGATAGTACAATAACGCTGGTTGGCAGCACAGTGGTGAGACTGACATGCAGGGCTGGCGTCCGTCAGAGTCTTGGCCTGAAGACATGATTTGTATGGGATCAAGGGAAGCTCAGGTTTATTAATGCTATCAAATCCATCGGACTCCTGGCCCTGGACTCCACAGCTAAAAAAGCTGAGTAACCCCATCATGACCCCTGCGACACTCTGCAACGTTAATTATTTATAGGCTGGAGTCAAATAAATCACGTTCTGTCTATTTCAGCTGCTTGTCTTCAATTCGGTGCATGCTTGTGACCAGTGGTGCCTGTAAATGTGAAGCATTCAGAAGATGATTTCTTTGGTTGGAATTATTCATTCCACCAGAATCTTGCTGTAACACAAGCTTTTACATATAATGCATTGTAAAAGTATGGTAATGCATTAATTATGACACGTAATGCATGTTGTATGTTCACGTGAATAATTATAACCACAGTTATAATACATTATAATGCTCATCTATTCTTTGTCATACCTTTAGTAAGTATAATCTGTAATGCATTCACATGAAAAACAACCACTTTCAGATATAACACAGAATCTGCAAATATTATAAAGTGTTTTAACTTGGGTTACAATTATTTATGGAAATATATCATGCATTACAAAGTACATTATGAATACCTATATAATGCATTATACATAAAGCATTGCTGAACTTTCTTCTGATTCTTGCAGCCTCAAATAATTTCCAGCAGATCCATTTGCGACAATATTGGACAATATTTTGATTTGCTATGACAATCATAACATCTATAAACATGAAGGTAAATATTCAGATGTCGCAAAAGTGTGAGTGATGTCTGTCTTCATAGTTATTTTAAAGGACCATATTCAAATTAAAACATTATTTAGGGCTGCACAGTGAATCATATTTTAATTGCAATCATTATTTCTGCTTATCTCGCATTAAGCATAATTGCCCGTGATATTGTACTAGTTATTTATCCTGAAAACATTGTTTGATTTGGCATTGCGTTTATCTTGCACTGGTAACAAGCCTCCACTATAGCTGTAATGCCTGGGGTTGCCAGATGTCAAGAGTTTAAATCCACCAATCAGAGCTTTTCTCTTAAATCTATACATTTTCTGCCCAGTGGTTTACTTATCTTCCCAACCTGGCAAGCAATCGGTCCTTCTCAGTGATGAACTGTAGTAAATATGCACATGGATCTTGACTATATTGTTTGTGATTGTGGTTGCTGAATAAATGGACTCTGTGCCACAATACAATGTTTTTTTGTTGTCATTTTTTAACTGAAAAAAAAAAAAACATTGTGGAATTAGTATTAGGAATTTCACTGTTTTATCTTTTTTTTGTGGTTTTACCGGTTTTCATAATGTTTTACAGGTTTTCAAATGAAAGCTGTATCTATATTATATTTATCATATAATACAGTATAATCAAAATATACTGTTTTTGCAATCTGAAGAATCGCCATTTTATAAAACAGTCATAATTTAATATTTTTCAAATAAAATCATACTATAAGTTACTATGTTTTAAATGTTACTATGTTATTACCATGTTATTACTGCATTTACCCCCTTTTTATTAATTAAAAACTGACGGAATTCATTTATTTATTTATTTAATTAATATAAATGTACAGATAATTTTACAAACAGTATTTTTGACACCTGTTGGTACTTCATACATACTGAGTCCAAAATGACCCGAACATGAAACCTGTAACATTTGTGTTTAAATAATTATACCTCTCTTTTGAACCTCGAAACAAACAAACAAATAAATAAATAAATGATTATGTGTATTATGAGGGTCGTACATAATTTGCAAAGTTTCGTTCCCTTACTAAAACTTTTTTTTTTTTAATAAAAATTTGTTTTATAACTTTTTTTTTTTTTGAAGAGCTATTAGGGTTAAAGAAGTATTTCTACCTGATTTAACCCATAAAAATGTTGTTTTTATATATATAAATTGACGTATAAGGTATCAGTGATGTTAAATAAAGCAATTAGCCCCAAGAAGCCGTGGTTTACAGTGAATTTATAACAGCTAAGAGGCGTTGTTGGGTACGACGCGAAGCGGAGTAAAACCCCCTTAGCTGTTAAAAATTCACTGTAAACCACGGCTTCACGGGGATTATTGCTTTTATAAAACGGTTATTCCATATACGTAGTAAGGTTTCACAAAATAAAACAGAGCAAATAAAGTGTAATGATATTAATAAAAACAGTATTCTTCCACCAAACAATGTAGCTCCTCAGAAACAGTTGTGGTTGCAACAAAGTGGTTGCCGAGCAACAGACAAACGTAAACAAAGGTGTGTGTTTGTAGAGTAATTTACAACAGCTTCGAACGTGGCTCAGCCAATCAGAATCAAGGACTATCCGTTTTATACTATTATTTTTGACTTGAGTAAAAACAGCTCATTTAGATGTCATGTTGATGTTCTCATGATTTGTTTTGCTTATGTGATTGCAACAATATAAAAATACATTTCTCAAATGACAACAATCATAATTAATAATCACCATTATAATTTTTGAACAAAATAATCCCAATAATCAGTTTAACTGTTATTGTTCAGCCCTATTCTTACACGTGAGCTGTGTAAATTGGGTTGCAGTGTGGATTTTGTTGGAAGAGTGTGGTAGTTTCACTGAAATGTGCTGTAGAGCAACACATTTACTGCACCTAATTGTACTTTTGATCTTATATTAAATGCAGCTTTATTGGCACCAACAGCACTTAGGCATTTGTGACCCTGGACCACAAAACCAAAAAAGTCATAAAAAATGTATCATCTGAAAAATGTAAATTTATCATCTGAAAGCTGAATAAATACGCTTTCCATTGATGTATGGTTTAAAAGAAAAATCAATAATTTTGACCCATACAGTGTATTTTTGGCTATTGCTACAAATATAGCCCAGCGACTTAAGACTGCTTTTGTGCTCCAGGGTCACATTTGCGTCCTGCGTCTCACGCCGCTGTGTATGTTTCAGGCTGCTGAACAGGATGGCTGCTGAGGAGCGGCACATGACGTCCAGCTGTGGCTCCTACATCAAGACAGAGCCCTCCAGTCCGTCCTCTCTGGTGGACACGGCCAGCCACCCCAGTCCCGGCGCGCATTCGGACGCCAGCGGCGGCTACGCCAGCCTCATCAACAGCCACTCCAACGGCCTGGACTCTCCGCCCATGTTCACGGCGGGCGGGCCGCTGAGCGCAGCAGGGAGCGCCTGCCGCAAACGCTACGAGGACTGTTCCAGCACGTTACTGGAGGACCCCGGCTCCATCAAGTGCGAATACATGCTCAACTCCATCCCAAAACGCCTGTGCCTGGTGTGCGGAGACATCGCGTCGGGGTATCACTACGGTGTGGCCTCCTGTGAAGCCTGCAAGGCCTTCTTCAAGAGAACAATACAAGGTATTTCATATGCATGTGCTGCTTTGTACACACTACAGGTCAGAGGTTTTGAATAATTCACAAGGCTGCATTTATTTGATCAAAAATACAGTAAAAATTGTGAAATATTATTACAGTTTAAAACAGCTGTTTTCTATGTGAATATCTGTTAAACTGTAATTTATTTCTGTGATGCGCAGCTGTATTTTCAGCATCATTACTCCAGTCTTCAGTGTCACATGATCTTCAGAAATAATTCTAATATGATGATTTGCTGCTCAAGAAACATTTCTGATTATTATCAATGTTGAAAACAGTTGTGCTGCACAATATTTTTGTGGAAAACATGATACATTTTATTTTTCAGGATTCACAGATGAATAGAAAGTTAAAAAGAACATAATTTATTTGAAATAGAAATCTTTTGTAACATTATACATGTATTTACTGTCACTTTAGATCAATTTATTGCATCCTTGATGAATAAAAGTATTTATTTATTTATTTATTTTTATTATTAAATCTTACTTACTCCAAACTTTTGAATGGTAAAGCATATTAGAATGATTTCTGAAGATCACGTGACACTGAAGACTGGAGTAATAATGCTGAAAATACAGCTTTGATCACAGAAATAAATTACAGTTTAACAGATATTCACATAGAAAACAGCTATTTTAAACTGTAATAATATTTAAATTTTTACTGTATTTTTGATCAGATAAATGCAGCTTTGGTGATCAGATTTGTGCTTAAGACAGGAATGAAACACAGTAGTCAACTCAAGTTTATCTTTGTATAGCTCTTTTCAAAGCAGCTTTACAGAAAATGTTTGTATCATACTCTATCAGTAGTGGGTGCAAAACACCACTCATATTTTCATATAAAGAAAACTTCCAGACTAATATCACTATAAACGTATTTCATTTCATGATGTGAGAATGAGAAACAATGAACCGTGGATGGCCAATTGTCAATAGAAAGACAATGTGCATATTGACATTATCATGACATGGACAGGGTGATGTATGGTGTGGCGCCAGCAGCGACGTTACAGTAATCAATCCATTTGATCGCCTATAAGAGGTTTACTGTTACAGAGACATATGATAAGATGACCACACTGACCAGAAGACAGCAAGAGCGGATGAAATAGCCGTCTTTACATCACCATCGCTTCTCATTACAGAACAGAAGAAATGGACAAACCAAAGGGTTTCACATTGAAAAAATCTGGTCCTCATTGTGTCTCATTTTGGCCAAAAGCTGAAAGAGACCATGTGACTGACATGTAAACCAAACAATCACAGTTAGGCTTGTTTTCTGTTTAGGGGCAGGTTTAAAAAACAAAAACAAAAACAAGAACAAGACCAGATTTGGGCTTTTACCAAAATGCAAGACCAGTGTGGTCTAAAAAAAAACAAAACAAACAAACAAAAAAAAAAATTAGTTGCTTGAAATAAATGTTTACCGAAATGAAATCACAAAATAAAAATTTGGCTAAAAAAATTCCCCCAAAAGATAATTTAAAGTCATTATTCTGTTACGTGAGAAAGGCATTGAATAGACATTACAAAAAAAAAAAAATGCTTTAGAAAGAAATATTTTGATTCAATATAGAAACATTAATATTTTTATTTTGTGTTTATTATTACATTTTTTAATGAAATGGTACTCTAAATTTGCAACTAAAAGCCAGTAGGTGGCAGCAAGTCACTGTCTTAATGAGTGAGTTGTTGAATCATTCATTCAACTGATTAGTTCAAATGGCTGATTCATTCAGAAACAAAACGTCTCTGGTTACGTATGTAACCATGGTTCCCTGAGTAGGGAACAAGACACTGCGTCCTCTAGGGGTCGCTATGGGGAACGCCTCGTCGTAACCCGTGTCTGAAGCATATATTGAAAAAACACCATCAACACGTTGGCTGGCGACAGCCATGACGTCACTACCGGTGCGACTATAGTATAAATAGGCGCCGGGAGAACACATCATCCACTTCTTCGTCTGAAGCTTGCGTCCGAAGCATGGCAAGAAACCTAGAGGACGCAGTGTCTTGTTCTCTACTCAGGGAACCATGGTTACATACGTAACCTGAGACGTTCCCTTTCAAGGGAACTTCGAACTGCGTCCTCTAGGTCTATGTTGGTTTCAGAAAGTGCACAGAGCTTAGCGTGTGCACTTACCATAGCATAGATTTAAATTTCCAGGCATCTGATCGCAGATACCCGGAGGTACTGGGCCAAACGGGAGAGGCAAGCTCAAATACGACCCTCTAAGCGAGGGGAGCACTGCCTGAGACAGCATTACACAAGAAGGTTCTTGCAAATGCCACCTCTATACTTCCCGCTCGATGCCTCAGCAAGAGGGGATATCCTGGTGACTAGGAGGCCCCTCAGGGCGACCTAGATACGCTATACCAGACAGGGTAGCCTGAAAGCATAAGCCCAGCCCGTACGTCCAGGAAATTTTGCAGTGTCGTGCCGGGGGCCTGATGATCAACTTCAGACACGGGTCACGATGAGGCGTTCCCCATAGCGACCCCTAGAGGACGCAGTTCGAAGTTCCCTTGAAAGGGAACAAGTGACTTGTCTTTATGAGTGAATAATTGAATCATTGACTCATTCATTCAGTAATGAAACTGGAGACTCACAACACTTCTGCAATACAAAGGAATTTGGCAATTCTAAATAAATATACAGAAAACCATGGGGTTAATTAATGCTGTTAAAGCTTAATCGATTCACATACTGATACCCTGAAGTTATGTAAAATCAGCCAATCAGATTTGAGCTTGTGATACTGAGAAAGTGCTTTCCAGTTTTGTGTGCGCTGACTCTTTTCAGTTTCTTAATATACGTAATGTAGTGTTTGACTATTATATAACAGTCAAACTTTAAACAATCAAAAATAACATAAAGCAATTATTTATGTTAAAGGCTCACATACGGTATATGTTCAAGCATGCATACAATTATTATAAGCATAAGCTAACTATGTAATTTTTGAATATGGATGGGATGATCTGTGACTGACCGGTTATTCGGTTCTGTGGACAGATCCGGTGTTTTCTGTGGAGTGCTGTGAGTGTTTTAAGCTGAGCGCTGTAATGCAGAGATGTCTGTGGTGCGTGATGTTCAGGTCAGAACAGACATGCAGCATCACACTGTCAGATTGGATTGGCACAGACAAGAGGAGCGGTGTGTTCTGAACCAGATACTAATCACATGGTGTGTGTGTGTGTGTGTGTGTGTGTGACGGCTCAGAGAGAGAGAGAGTCTGACTGACACCAGTCACACTGCTCTGCTTTCATAAACCTTTAGCAACATGCATGTAGGGACCTCACTCATTAAGAGTGTTACTTTATTACTTGATTTCTTCATGGAATTTCTTCATTCATTAATCGATTAATTGCATACAAACCCACATTTCCCAATGGCACACATGCGTAAACGTGTGAACGCATTAATGAGGTTTCTTAGGTTTAACTCATGTATAGGACACACTGTTCTACAAATGGAAATACTCACATGAAATATAACATTTACAGATAAGAATATTATTGTTGAGTTTTAGTGATTAGTTGTTAACTCTTTAAAGCAAATTTCTAAATGATCAACACGATCAAAACTTTGCTGTTAAACCTGTTTCACACTCAATCTGCTCATGTCTTCTGTCTCTGATTGAGTTTAGAGTTTTTTTATCCAGTCAAAGCTCTTTTAGTGTAATTGTACAAACGTTCATCTTCAGCTGGAGCTTCACGTGTCAAATCTTGACTGATTTTGATCAAGTAAGCGTCAGAATAACTGCAGTAATATCTCCAGATGAACACTTACTGGACTGAAGCAGCTCAGCTTTACTTGATTCTCCATCAATCATGTTTTAGAGTCTCAAATCTGATCCTCAGGATCTTTTGAGGAGCGTTTGTTTCCAGAAGCTTTACTTTCACTGTTCCTCAGCGGAGGAATGATCTTCACAAGCCTCCAGAACATCTCACATCTTCTGAGGAGCCTTTATTTCTTCAGCTCTCAATCACTGCATTATATGTTTGGAGCATTTCAATCTCATCTTACTGAGACAGATTACTGGAGATATAGAGCGACCACTGATATTTATATTACTTTATGTCAGTATCTGCTGTACTGTTATAAAGATCTCATTATTATCATTATCAGAATTTCATCTTACTTTACTAAATTGCATATTTTTGCTCAGTTTGAGTCTCTGAATAAAATTGATCTGTTTTTTTTTCCTCCATATTCTCACTGTATCAGACTATAAGAACCATAAATGGATCAAATGTGATATTAAAAAAAAACACATATGCAGACTTTTTGGTTTTAAATATTTTGTCTAAAAGCTCTGTTCCATTGTTTCACTATTATATTACATGTCAGGTTTTACAGGGTTAAATCCCTACTGTATTTGTTCATTTCGACATACGGCATGACTTATGAATAACTGCGAAGACAAACATGACTCCACTCTCAAAGTCCAGAAGCTCTCAGGACCGTCAGGTGTTTAAACACACATTCTCTGATATTGGCTGCGTTGTATCGGCTTTAAACAGTCTATGGACCTTTGTGAAGGCAAACAATCGCAGTTGTCCAAAAATCCCCACTGTTGGCGAAACACACGCGGCGTCCCTCAATCACATATTTAGAGTTCGGCTTTAAACACTGACAGATGCACAAAAGCGTCCACGATGAGACACTCGAACAAACGAGCGCTTTGAGTAGAACGACGGGTCAGACAATTAAGAGGAGGAGAGTTACACGA